AAAAATGCTTCAAAGGAAGCAAGATTATATCCATACAAGACTAACTTTATAAATCACGTGAACGTGGAAAGTAAAAGATACGAAATTGACTGCAAAATACATAACGTAAATATTAAATTTCTTGCTTTCATTTCTCGGTTCGTAGCTCCATCATTTCAAAATTTATCTTGAATTCAATTTGATATACAATATACGTGGGTATGTATCAGTTACATTATAGATTTATCTGCTGAATTTCAACGGATATGTTCAGTGAGGTGCACAGAAGATGTCATAACCAGATATACATATAATAAACGTCGGATATGACAGTTCCATTGTTAGCACAGACAATGGGAGAGCTTAATTAATTATAAATGAAAGTTTGTGAGATTATATGAATATTTGTAGCAACCGTAAATTTTCTTTAAACTGATCGCTCAAATGCTTGTTACTACATATTCTTTTAATATACTTAGAACATTTCTGAGTCGAAACTCGATAGTATTACCCACAAAGTCGACGGAAAAGTAGAAAATTTATTTAGTAAAGAATTGAATTGAGAAGTGCTCTTCGTTATGGTCTATTACGAAAATATCATGGTAATATATATAGTATGTATAGAAATATTGGATTATTATGGAAAATCTATTTCAATATTTTATATGTCAAAAAGAAACATTTTGAAAAATTACTCAAACTTAGTATTAGATAACATTTTACCAAAGGTAACTGTGCTGTGATTAGAATTTTACAAAAAGAATATGAAATTTACACGTAAAATGCAGGTAGATAAAGTTCTTTTATAAACAATCTAAATAAAAACACATACGACATCTTATATCATTAATTGGACATCACAAACATATTTTATTTTCACACGTTGAACAAATAAAGCTTTGGTAATTTCACCTTAAGTAGCGATAATCCCAAAAATTGAGGGATAAAGACAACATCACGGCCGCATTTATTTTATTTTACAACATCGATATGGAGCTCACAATACATAATGGGAGACGAACAAATATCTGAGATATTTTCACAAAAGCTTTTATCTATTATACAATACTGTAGGAGCTTTATCCATAGTTCATGAGATGATTGTTCCCATTATCAGATTATAATAATAATTACTCTTGAAATCAAACAATATTATTACAGCTTATAACCAAATCCTCCTAATGTGAAAACTAGGAGAATGTATGGGTGTTTACTTGCTTGTTACTCGTTTGCTCAAAAACTACTGAGCGGATTTTGATGAAACGTTACTATAATATAGCTTAGATATTAGAATGAGATATAGGACACAAAAATTTTCGGAATTCCCTATAATTGTCACAGGATCAAAGCAAAACAATTATATTTTGCAAGAAGTCATGTGATATTGCTTTCAAAGTCAATCGATTTAATACATTTTGTACATTTTTCTCTAAACCCAACCCGAAATTCAAGTAGACAAAGTCATGTACAAGAACTAGTAAATATATATAACAAAGGAATGGTATTTAAAAATTTGTAACTGCTTTCATTCTTAAACTTCAGTGTATTAAAAATTCTTGAACACAAGAACCAAAGTAATTTAATCAAAATATGTTTGTCTAACAAACAGTATTTACACTGTTTACAATTACAGTAATATTTACTTGAAACTAACTTTAAAATGAAACTCGTCTCTGTGAATTCGTGTTAGTTCTAGTATCACAGGGCTTTAGGTTCAGGGAACAAAATTAATGTACGCCTTCTATGTTTGTAAATGAACTACTAACTATACCTATCACATTTTGTCATTAAATAAATACTTCTCTGTGTAATACTAGTTTGAGACGGTATTGAATGTAAGAAATTTATCTTAAGTCTAGAATTTAAACATATAAACTTTTTTTATCTTAAATGCGCCTTTCTTTACTTTACCTGACATCACATTTTGTCTGTTCAAACCAAAATATCAATTTTATGGTAATTTTTAGAACTGACCCATCTTGAAAATGAAATATATAAAACAATTTCTAACCCGCATATCCTCTATTGAAAATTAACTTGGTTTCAACATTTCAATAACTTCAACATTTCAACTATGCTATTTTCTCAACTAAACGATAAATACCTTGCTGAAGTTTAACTGCGAAGCTTGAAGATGAGTATTTCATTGGATTATTCATTTAATAAGTAAATATGGAGCTAAATACTAGAACATTCGGTGGATTATAATAAATTTCAAATTAGTAAGGTACACCTGATGGAGAGATATTTATTTTTTCTTAATAAGGTTGCACCAAATCTTGATCTTTATTGTATGCCTACTAGCAATATATTGTGGTGTCGTCTATGTACAAACAACTGGTAACACATTAACTACGTATAAAAGATTTAATAGAAAATCAAGGGGGTTCAGAAATATATACAAAGAAGCTTTAAATAAAATAAAGTTAACTTTAAAAAAAATAACATTAAATACTCCGTAAAATATCAATACTATTGATTAAGTAGGACATACGCCATTGTATTTTTCAAATAAAATTGCTTCAATAGATTCGGCACTACAATCCCACAAACAAAATGGATGAAGTTTTCGTGTTGATTACAACTGCTGAGATAATTTATTATGTAATGAGATCTAAGATTTCATGATTTAAATGAAGCTAATATTTTTCGGATGTACTACGCGACTTTATTTTTGATAAAAACTACATACTACTCCTGACGTTTCGGCTACTTTTAAATAATTTATGACATACATATATTTTACATAAAAATAAAAAACTTAAAGTGTACAACACAAAAGTTGAAACAGTCTTTAGACTTGTGGAAAATTAATAGTGAGTTGAATGGAATAACGCGATGTTCTTACTTAGGAATGTACAGAACTGTACCGAGTATAAATTTACAACTTGAGTTTTAGGTCAAGAAATAACAAAACTAGGTCAGGCTTCGGTTATTGAAATTTAAAGAATACTACATACTGGGAAATGAATTTAAAACTGAATTTCAAATTATTATACTTACGGATGCTTGACAAGTCGATCGTTATTATAATTCTTTCTAAAAATTATGTGGACTTTTTATATTATACCGCGACTTTGTCTGCCTAAGTTTCAGAAATAGAAATGTATAAACAGTATAGCAGACTGAGCGAACTCTGCTCCTCATTAAAGAAGGTATATAAGAAGATTTTGAATTTTTTCAACTTATTTTTTTTTCTTCTTTGATTCTTATGAAAAGTATCCTATGTCCTTTTTCTGATTCTGAGCAATTTCTCCACCATTTTAAAGCGAAACCCGTACAGCCGTTCTTGAGTTTTAAGTAGTGTAACTAACACGACTATCTTTTATATATAAAGATTATATGCCACTAACATTTACTCTTGAAGTTTTACAGCGTCAAATGAACGTGCGGTTCTCTTAACTCCACCTCACCTTATCAGAGGCAGCCACTCTCAGACAAATATAACTTTATTCTCATTGTCTCAGTAGACTTAGGATGATTTAGACTAAATTTAGGGAATATTATACTGAAGAGAGATGAAAACTTTTATTCAACTAAGTGCATGACATACTTCCCATTTATTGTTATGGATGCCAAATCGACACATGAATACAAATTTGGATAGTAAAACTATATAGGGGAAAAGTATCTCAAATAGCAACCCATTTCGATGAGCAACCTGTTACTTCACTTATGTTTTTTTGAGCCAAATTGTGTACATATATATTTACCACAGAGAAATAGTTCGGATCGTAAACGAGGTAAAGCATCAGGGGAGTTCTTGTCATGGCTAGCAGTCTTCCATACATTCGGCTAACAGTAGTTCGGGTTTTATTGTATGGAAGTGAGAGGGCAATAACGTCATTACCAAATATATATTAGATAACTTCATTGTGGATTGACGTTACCAATTTAGTAGGTATATAAAAAGAAATTTAGTAACTAACCTTCTGAATAAAATGCCTTTGAAATTTAAATATAATTTTAATAACATAATAAATCTTTCACACATTTTTTATAATTTAGTTTTTCTCTAGCTTCTCTGCTTTAAGAAGAGACTGTAAATTTAATTTTATATCCGTATATTTTACGACTCATGAAATTTCAGGAGCTTCAGAAAAAAACTGTTCTGAGCTCGAAACAAGAGTATTCTTAGAGGTTTTGCCTTTAAGAGTACATATATAATTATAGTTTAAGCTATCAAAATAAATTTGCAGTATTCAATAAATGATTGCTTAATATCAATTGTTATCATACGTAATCAGTGACTATAAGTATGAGGTGATAAAGGACGTTCAGAAAAGGAATAATTTATTTATTAAAACATTATGATAGATCCTAACAAATATTAAAGCTGAATTCTAATTAATATCGTCAAACAGATATCAAAGTTCAACCAACTAATGAAGAACAAATGTTACCGGTTGCTTGCCTTTGATATTTCTATCAAACCACATACCGCTAAACTGTATTTGAAATGTACACGAGAAATACTGACATCTCAGCACCCGCAAACTCTCCTGAAGACGATGTCTAAGACGCAGTTCTAATTGCTATACTTATTTCAAAAAATGTAGGTACAACTTATAATTGGATTGTAAGAAACGTGTCAGAAATCCAACATGACTGAATAAATCTATTTCATCATCATCATCATCAGCCTATCAGAGCCCACTGCTGAGCAAAGGCCTCTTCTCACATGGAAAAGATTTGAGCATTAATCACCACGCTTGCTCAAGAATGATTGATGATTTCATACTTATAATTTGAAATTATAGGTCCAGGTTTCCTCGTGATGTTTTCCTTCACCATGTCAGTGGTGTCTAAATATTCTTAGAAAGAACATATGACTCGAAAAAGAACATTGATACTTTCCAGGTTTCCAACTCGCGCGCTCATGCATTAGAGGAGGGCCTTTAACCTCTAAGCTACCACGACTGAATTTGGCCAAATTAATATTCAACTACGTCTATCGTTTAAGAAGTTGTCGTTAGTTTTTTCTCATTATATCTGCCAGTCGTTTTCTATATATCACTTACCGGCACAGACTTGTTGTTGTCATCTACAAGGCTGTCGGTGACGGTCAGCTGGCCATCATTAACGAGGATGTGCATCCCGAGGCGGTAGACCCCCATCAGATGAGGGCTGCCGAACCTCCCGCGCATGATGAGCTGCACGGTGAGCACCTCGCCTGGTAGCAAAACCTCCACCACCGGCCATTCGAAGGTCTGGGTAAGATAAGAATAACATTACCTACTAATTCGTGATAGAATTTACAGTAAATTCGCAAATGTTTAGACTAATCATTGATAAATACTTCGCTTGTACTGGCTAAATTTGATAATTGAATTTGTTTCACTAAATTAGAAAATAGATCTTATTTAATATAGGTGTCCTAAAAGAAAAAACTTTTATAGGGTCATCAGTTTAATACTATATTTATGTAAATGACACAACATGAAGATATTACTGAACGACTACATAAATTAGTAAGAAACTTTTCAACGTTGTTCCTAAAACAATACAACTCGTAAAATCAATATTTACAAAAGACAAGGTATACAATCCCATTATAATTATTCCTCCGATCCAAGCCATGTAATGTAACTCAATTTGTTAAAGAAAACAACAGCACCGCTGACAACAAAAGACTCGGCTGACTGGTGCTTCGAACAACAAAATGAACAGAACATATCATATATCATACGTTTTTGTGTATTTTTTAAAGTTTATTGTATGTTTGATAAACATTCGACATATTACGCTTCACTCACAAGCCTCCTTTTTGAAGAATTCAATAGTCTTTTAAATGAAACGGTAGAACGTTGAAAAGGTGTATTTTTAAGCATTCCTAATTAAAAAATCGTTGCCAAACGTAATTATGTCTTATCAAAGATAGAAACTATGTATTATTTCATTGAGATGTAAAAAAATAAACTTTAGAATGACACAATTATATTACGTACGATTTTCAAAACTCTCATTATTTTGTCTTCGAAGTTCTTTGCAAGTTATTGCTTACGCTTCTAATATAGAAACAAAACATTGCTAACATATTAAAATCACAAAAAACATTGTCCCGGTCCATAGAGCTTTGAAGCATTGATTAATTTTTGGATCAGAATTTCAGATGAAATACCCCTACAAAGGTAACCGGTGGCTTTGAATACACAGAGATTGACATCGTTGGCCGCTGGGGGAATTCGTAACATTACGTTGTATGAGTGTTATTTGAAATAAAAATCTGAAGAAATAATTCGATTTATACGACCGAATAAACATTTAATATATTTACATTACATTCAAATTATTTTGTTGACGATATTACTTTAATATATCACTCGTGGGTACGCTTTAAGTTGATGGAAATTGGATAAGTGAACCTGATCTTATTGTAAATATTTTATATCCTCGCTTGACGTTACAACTGAAGAACCATTATTATAGTTCACGTCATGTATCTACACTGTTCTCAATATTTTATAAGTTCATATATTTACTCAAATTTATCACATTACAATTTGATTCATTAAAAAAATCATGTTGACGATATAATATTCAGTTTTAATTAAAATAAAATTACATTTTTCGTATATACCACACGGTATTATTCTAAAACACAACACAAGAAAATCACATCATCTCCCTAGCCATCTAACTATTGTCGGCAAATCTTTGTTTCAGTATCATAATAATATGAACGCGAAATAAGGTTCAAAATAAACGAGAAAACTATTTTTATCTAGGAAATTAAGTAATACAGTATCAATATACTAATTCTGAAACAATTACCTAAAATATATATTTTTGTCCTAAAAATATTGTCAGGATAATGTAAAAAGTCATTTAGTCAGCAAGCTTTACCTAAAATACTTAAAAGAATCCCTTGGACTTGAACGATTCTCAAAGTAGTTGAAAATTTCAATAAATTCTGAAATATATAAACGATTCGACTACAATTTTTGTTTTCAAAGCTCATTACCTCCTAATCCCTATAAGTTTGATGGGTACAGTTCGTGGGTAAAGGGTATTAATCCTGATCATATCCTTTATGGCTTCCAATTTCTATAACTAACATGTTAGTACATAACAACCCTAATAACTGAACACAAATCTGTTTATAATCTTCATTTTTATTTTATGCTGTGACAGCATCTGACAAATGTACTCCGTTAGAATAGTTTTGGTAGATTAACTTACATAGTTTTTATTGCTAACTATTTGTTAAATCAAATTGTCTTTAAAAGTTTTATCATAATAGTTAAATCCAGATGGCTTTTAGGAGAGTTGAAAGTTTATATTTAACCTTTTCTCAAACACATAATAATCTTCTTCTATTAATACTTTTCCTCTGTGTCACATCTGTGGGTTTCTTCTGGAATGATGTATGATGGTAATCACGGTATTCCAGTAAACAGAAGTTTTAGCTTTCTTTTAAGATTTTAATAGATCTATGGTAGTAATATCGTGGATGTTAAAAAAGTGTATTTACATATGTTTTTGAAGTAACTGTAAAAGATACTGTATATTTTAACTAATTTATTTTAAGTCATGTCATTCGTGTTAGTCATGCAACTTCATACTTTAAATTAGCAAATAAAACTCCTAACTGAATAGACACATGTCCCTTATTTTGTATCACAGAGTGCGAATTCTGAATCTACTACTTGCTCTCCTTATTAACTTATTAAAAGATATATAAAAGAGTTTTAACTGAATCAATATAGTTAGCAATATATATGTACTGATAAATACGAGTATATGAGGGTCTGTACATATGTGACATAAATATTCAAAAGCTGAAACAGTTATGAATTCAATCTGGCCCCAAGGGTGACGTTACACGGACCAGGCCTCAAATCATGTACACCAACATTCTGTTACTATTTCATGGCACACATAATTAAGTATAAACTATTTTTGGTATACATGACACAAAGAATAATACTTATCCCTACTAATATGTATTATAAATGTGAAAGTAACTCTGTCTGTCTGTTAAGCTTTCACGCCTAAACCACTGCACTAGTTTTAATGAAATTTTGTACAGATATAGGGTTGACCTCAAGAAAAAACATAGGATAGTTTTTATGCCAGACTTTTGAAAAGTTCTCTTGGAAACGCGATATAACCGAACTCCACACGGGCGAAGCTGCGGGCGGAAAGTTAGTCATACATAATTGCAGAAATAAACACTTTAAAACATGCTATTTTCGTTTAATTAAATTATTTCTCATGTTATATATAAAACAATTAGTGCCAAGACAAATTCAATTTAAAAATTATTTTCCCTTCACGAGTGACCGGACAAAAATGTTATTTTTATTAAATTTGTGAGTATATTATCATTAGAGCTCCATATTATAAACTACGCTACAACTCCATTAAAATTAATTACTATTTTATTTTCGTTTATTACACGATTTACAAATGAAAGACACAAAAATAATTAATTTATTTTAGGTAAACATATTTTAGAAATTCCACTAACTTTTGTAAAGACTATAAAAACTCTTCAGAGATTGCGCGTAAAGTAATTGATACATTTAACAACAGTTTGTATAACAAATAATTTTATTCCTAAAGAAACAAAACAATTTAAGTTCAAATGACACATTACTTTGGAAATTTACTTGAAATGTTGATTTATCAGGGGAGTCATTTACGAACATCTTATGACGACGTTACTGCTCAAAGTCAGCTGAATACTATCTATACAATCCTGGCTTTAATTCGTCTTTCAGCCAGGAGATAAAAACAAATTATAAATGTTTAAATACATCTGATATCCCATATCGATCATTATAGTCTTACCTCTTGTATAAAGAGTAGTTCTTGATGACTCTTGTTGATGGTGGAGTACTTTTCGAAACCTGAAACAAAATACATATAAATTTATTTCTCATATTAACCATTATAACTTAGAAGTTCTAGGTACATTTAGAAATTTTATGTAATAAAGATTCGTCGTAAGTTACACACACTTCTACTTTCACGCTCTGTGTCGTCAGAGAACTGTATGAATTTGTAGGATATACATTATTATTTTTAATACTTATTAAACAAAATAGGCCAAAATACATCGATATTTTTATATACTGCTGTTAATATACATAAAATAGTTAAAAAAAATTACGGCTGTGTATATAAATAACAGTTTTTTAAGGGAAAAGCAATTTGGGCGTAGATTAAATTAGTGAAAATCTGTTAAATAATTTTGGGGTGAAAATTTCATTTATTACGACGTTAACATTTTAAACGCTGAATATTTTTAATATTTTTGTTTATAATACTAAAAATATTTCAAAATTACTCTTTTTTCTGTCTTGTATCCTTTACCGATATTATTTGATTAGCTCATTTGTCATCGGCCTATCAGAGCCCACAGCTGAACAAAGGTGTCTTCTCACATGGAGAAGATGTGAGTATTAATCACCACGCTTGCTCAAGACGGGTTGGTGATTTCAAACTTATAATTGTGATATTATACGTCCAGGTTTCCTCACGATGTTTTTCTTCACCATCTGTCCTTCGTTAGTTATTTATGGGTATTAACTATTACCTCAATATTAATAAAAATATCTCAAATTGCAGTATCACAATAATTATATTGTACAAGCATCGAATTTAGTTTTAACACCATGTATTTAAATAACAGGATTTGAAAACTAACTTCCCATCACCGTCTTTGTCTCTCGTGTAAAACTACAAGCTGAACCGACAAGAATTGTTTTGTCATATAAAAAAAATAGACATTAGCCGATTCTCAGACCTACTCAATAGGCAAACAAAATTTCATCAAAATCGGTCCAGCCCTTTTGAAGGAGTTCTCTGTCTAACACCGCGATACGAGAATTTTATATATAAGATACACAGTCTTATAATGACCAATTTATTTCTTTATACAGGGTGACTGGTGAATTACTATCAATACTTGAGGACGTGATATTTGACGATCATATATGACAAAATAAAAATTAATATAACATAAATATTAATAAACTTCTAAGTAAAGTTAACCAAAAGTTATGTAATTAATTACGCATCGTGTGAACACCCTACAGATTAGGTATACACTCACACTCACACATACGCGAGCGGGGCGTGGTGTTGTATCAGCACGCCGCCGCACGCGTCCACACTTGGAACACTTGGAACGTGTACACACTTTATTTATTTATACGGAAATTTTGTCAAAAATTAAGTGCCTATTTTTTTTACATCATTCGAATGAGAATCATGTACCGAGTATTCTCCTTAAATATTAATAGTAATTCACCAGTCACCCTGTATAACTTTTATTACACAACGTTGCAATCAATTACATTCTAATTACCGAATATCTCAATTAAATCATAGAGTAATATTATAATTAAATGTTGATACAATAAATCATCAATAATAAACGAAATCAAATTACTCAGTTTGATTGGGTGTAAGAGTTGTTATCATTTAATTAGAGAATATGTTCATATATAACATACAAGTATTTAAAATACCCATCAAACTGCGATTCATTTAAAAATATTAAATGAATGACGATGAGAATATTTCATTCAGTGATTCTGTATTCATCACATTCTTTAATGCTCTGTGTTATTATGAAATCAAATGAAAAATATTTATATATTATACGAGTAATAAAACTTTAAATGGATGAATTGACAAGTAAATGTTCTGAAATGAAAAATAAAGTATTTTTAATCATCCTAATTAAAAAAAAGACTACTAATAACATTTTAATTTAATAAAGTTCGTAACATTCTAGAAAACTTCGTTAGTTTTTCATTACTGTCATATTTTATTCTTATGACACAGTTTTAATATTATCCGCTTCATGTAACGTGAAACCTGGAGTGTTTCTCAAATATTTATTCTGTACATTAAAATGCAAAAACATTTCAAAAAATCTCTGCATAAATAAACCGGGGGAGGCAGCGTTCGCACCCGAGAGCCACGCTGAATCAGTACAAAGTAGTTCTGTCTTAGCAATCAGGATTTTAGACACTTTGATAATGAAGTTTCATAATTGAGTAGGAAAAACTTATCCCCTATCTCCTCAGGTTTAGTTTCCTCAAGTTGATTGAGCTGAACGGTTGTCAGGTTTCCGTGGTTCATGTACTTTACAACTTTATACAGGGTGACTGGTGAATTACTATCGATACTTGAGGACGTGATATTTGACGATCATATATGACAAAATAAAAATTAATCTTCTATATATATAAAATGGATTGCTGTTCCTTAGTCTCGCTAAAACTCGAGAACAGCTGAACGGATTTGTCTTATCTTAGTCTTGAAATGTTCGTGGAGGTTCAGGGAAGGTATAAAAGGTGCGAAAAATTTGAATAATTGCCGGGAAAACCCTAAAAACAGCCCTTTTCTATTTCCCATACAAACGCTTTTTTTGACATTAGATTTGACAACTAACTAATATGTCAATCATTCTGTTTGATTGAAACAGGAAAAACCTGATTATTTATGGCCTCTAAGACGGAATAGAGTTCGCCTGGTCAGCTATACATATATTAATAATGACGAACTAACGCGGACGAAGTCGCGGGCAAAAACTAGTATAACATAAATATTAATAAACTTCTAAGTAAAGTTGACCAAAAGTTATGTAATTAATTACGCATCGTGTGAACACCCTACAGATTAGGTATACACACACACTCACACATACGCGTGCTCGGCGTGGTGTTGTATCAGCACGCCGCCGCACGCGACCACACTTGGAACACTTGGAACGTGTCAACACTTTATTTATTTATACAGAAATTTGGTCAAAAATTAAGTACCTATTTTTTTTACATAATTCGAATGAGAATCATGTACCGAGTATGCTCCTTAAATATTGATAGTAATTCACCAGTCACCCTGTATATATGCTTTGTGGGTTATATGAATATGAATGAATTTCCCTAGATATGTAGATAATATTATACATCAACACTCCGTATCTATTGTGTTAGATACTAACCAGTTATGGTATGAAGGTAGGAATAGGTCTAGACATAATAAGACTTAATTTTCTGATTACAATATGTCAATTCCATCTTTCTTCATCTTTGTTATCTCTGTATACCTACCTACATTATTCAAAAGATTTCATTATGTATCCAAAAAGTTGCGGTATATATACACAGAACTATTTAAATATTTCTCATATAAAAAGCAGTTAAAATAAATATAAAAAATATTTTCATAAATAACTCGTTTAAAATATTTATGAACTCAAAGTATACAAATATTTTAAACATCAGCAAATTCCGAACGCGATTTCCGAATCCCATATCGTTTGAAATTAAAGTTCGCTGGCTTGTAATTAAACGTACAGAAAATTTAATAGAGTGAAAACTTGTTCTTTAATATTGAGTTTTTGCTACAAAATGCCAAATTATAATATTTTGTATTATTTATAAATCTGAAAGATTGAATTGAAATTAAGCAGACAGAAAAGTATCATGCAAATTATTGTTCATTCGTCATAGCTAATTTATTATGGAAGTCAAACATACTTTGTTTTTGAATAAATATGATTATAAGTAAAGAATGTGTAATTAGCGCTTTATTCCACAATATTAGTAATCCCTTTCTATTCTATAGACAGAGTCGACAGCTAACATTCGCTCTTTAAAGGGTATTGAAATTAATTGACGATTGTATTTCGTACATACCAGATACAATATACTACACAATTAAACAACACAGCTTGTGTAATGTCACATGCTATCATTACCAAAATCATTCACTCTCAACTATATCTATAAAATCAATTAGATTAATATTTATAAGCAGCTTTTCCTTATACATAAGTTATTTTTAACGCTGAATATATTCGCTACCCATATTTCCTTTTAAAATTTATTTATAATATTTTACAGATTTCCTTTGAATGCTATGAAACTTGGTTGGGAATGAATAATACATTCAAATACAAAACTCGTGAAAGCTTTGATTTAATGGAAATATGATTAAAATAGTGCATATATATGTACGTTATATACAAATAAATGTACACAGTGAAGCAATAATTAATGCTCTTCAGAATGCAAGGAATCTTTCAACTTAAATTCCAACCAGCAAATTAATATTGCTTTAGATCATCAATATATTTGTCTAGTGTAGGCTATGTTTCTTGACTTTGTGCACACGTACGCATTGTTGAACAATTATTGTTTAAAAGAAAATATTATACGGTACTTAAGTCTTAGTGAATTTATACATTTTGGAGAGAGATTTTTCATAAATTCTATAACATTTTGTTATTTATTTCTGCTCAATGTTTATTGCAGAGTATGTCTCTGTGAACCTGCTCTAGAGGAAAGGAATTCCAATTCGGTTAATTTGCTATCCTAAGATATATCAAGCCCGAACGATTGTTATTTTGTCATTCTATTTACTTAGAAATTTCATCAAATGCTTCATGTCTGAACCACAAGTACGTCGGGTTGAGATCACTACAAATAAGTCCTTTCATTCCTTAACCATATTGGAATGGAACCGGAGGATAGTTTTCACCTTATTTTAAATCAGTTTAATTTGAATGAATTAAAACTTTTGTAATACTAGCTAATAATGTAGATTTTCGTGTTATCGTTCCGGATTCTTGGGATAAAAACTTTACCTGAGTATTCAGCATTGTATATAAGTACAAAAAATTATATAAAGCGTTCTTAGGTTATTATATAACTATATCAATATGTATTTAGACTTTAAGATGTCTAATATTATATTAAACAAGAAATACATATTGTTTTCTGTGACCAAGAGTAAACTAGTTGAATAATAAAATGTAGTATGCTGTACTTCGTCTTTATAAAATATTGTTGAATAAAACTTTTCTTAATATGGACTCGGTTACAGATTT